GCGTATTAATGCATGCATATTTATATGGTACTTCCTTAACAAAAGATCGAGGTGTTTTGTGAACCACTGTCATAAGCTGTTTTTTGGGTGGAGGACAGTAGCCAGGTAACATGGCGTATCAGCATTTTTGTGCTTGACTGCTGCTGTTATTGATCAATCCTAGTTAAAATTTTTTATTTCATTTATTTTTTACTGTGTCCCTCTGGTGAGAATAGCGGTAAGAAATAGTTAAGTGCCTATCTCTGTCAAAACAAAAATCTAAGCCTTTTAATAAATCTGAATGCTTAGGGCATACGGTGATTATTATTTAGAAAGTAGGACAAGGAAAGACAAGATCAAAAATGCTGGAACTGCAGGGGGATGTGGTTCTGGAGAAGGCGGCTGGATCTGGGACCATCAACTTCTGTAGTCAACCTCCACTTGAAGTAATTGGAAATATCCTTCCCCTTCCCTTCTCCATGGGCTCTTGGTTAGCAGAGTTTCTACCCCCTTGCAGCCTGGTCCTGCTGGCAACACGATGCTGCTGCCCCTGCTCCCCTCCTCTCACCATCCAGCCAGGAGTAGAGCCCTGGTGAGGAAATGCTGCCTGGTCCGCACTCAGGGCAGCTCCGGAGCATAGGAGGGCACTTCCTATTTTGGTTGCGGGTCAGGGAGTTAACTGAAAGCTTTGGAGTTGTGAGCAGGGAAAATAATTTGTCTGGTTTTTATTTTTCCTTTGCTTAAAATGAACGTAAGTTGTCCTTTAAAATAAGGTCAATTTTATCAAAAACACTTGCTACCACTAGCAGTTTCTCTGCTAAAAGAATATTCTCCAGGATCCTTAAAATATGTTTGGGTGAAGTACTGACCTAAGATGCAGTCTTTCCAAGAGGAAGAGCTGCAGGCTTTTTGGTCTAAGCCAGGCAAATAATAAAGAATAGACCAAAGACTTGTAAACTAGAACAAAATATGTATTTTTAAGGATTTTTGAAAGAAAGTTCAAAAAAACCCCAAGTTCCAAGCATAGATGATAGTGTGGCTGGTAGAGGGAAGAAACAGCAGCAGTGTGGTATAGGTATCTCCAGATGGGAATAACGCTCACTAGGGAGTGGGAAGGTGACAGTGTCCAGAAGAAGGCTTGTGCAGCTTTCATGAAGGGAGGTCAGGAAGACATTCTCTTGCCAGAAGGTTGCTAATAGGGAGGAACTGCACCAAAAGCTTTAAGCTGTAGATTCAGTCCCATAAGGAAACATGTCCTAGGAGACCTCAGTCAGCTGAGGAAATGTGACAGCAGGAGATCAGCTGTTGTGTCATCTTTCGACCTGGCTGTGGTACAAGCGAGCAGTTCGGGACATTTGTATAGCCTTGGACTTGTCCTGGACCCTCTTTTGCTCTTCTTTTGGAGCTTAAATCCAGCCTTTCCTTGCAGAGACCTCTCACTGAGGAAGATGTGATAGTTTCTTAACACCATTAAATGAATTTTTTAAAATGGTAAGTTCACCAGCAAAACAAAGGAATAAGAGTGAGGGTAGTAACTACGCTAAATTTGAGCTTGACTATTAAAGAGAAGGACTGTTTTAATACCAGGCTGGCCAGGTTAGAGTATTGCGGGGATCAAGTGAAACCTTCATGAGGAAGCAGGGAGACATGAAGCCAAGAGACATGGGGTGGTGGTAAAAGATCCTTCCCCAAGGGTCTCTAACTTCTGCTGCTTATGTCTCAGCTGGTTCATTAAAATTCAGTTATTGGTGTGTGTTTGGATTTATGAAGATTTGGAAATAAAGGATCCAAAACTGTTTGGTGTCATATGCAGACTGGGCTGACACAAATATATCCATCCAGAAGTTGGGAGGCTGCACTTGGAGACAGGGATGTGGGATTAGAGGAAAGAAGAAATCTTCATAGCTATGTAGTAGATGATTTTACAACTGATTTAGATTTCATTGCACCTAGTAAGAGTATAAGCAATGACAGGGATTATAACGTCACTCTGCAGAAAATCACCTTAGCAATGGTGGAATAAATGGTTTGTGAACAATCGATGTGTAACAGACAAGTTATTCTCCCTTCTGAGTGCAAATACTGTTGAACAGCTGCATCCAGACTGAACTTTCCAGTGGAGGAAGCTGGAATAGACTGGGGCAAGTCTTTAAGACATCGACTCACATGTGAGACGGACTAAATGCAGATGGCTTAAGTGGTTCCTGTCTTCAGTTTTATGCTTTGCCTCTCTCTCAAAGGCCGCTGTTCTTGCAGCGGTGCTGGCTGAGTGTTACATGAAATATGTGTGTTTACATTTATAAGCCAAACTGTAAAAATGTGTTTGGGAGCAGACTCACATAAGCCAGCGCTTGTAGCTGCTAAAATTCTTGTGGCTGGGAAGTACGAGCGGAGCATTCCTTGTTTGCTGGATGCAGCTGAGGAGCAGTAAGTAGTAAAAATGACCGTGATTCAAAATGGGCACGGAAGAAGTCCAAAGGTTTATTTATTTTATGAATTAAAAGCCTGTTAAATTACATCTGGTAGGAAAAAAGCATTCCAGTAACTGCAAGAGTGTGATTTAGCATGGTTAAAATTGGGATAGGGGCAGGCAGAGGCCATTCCTGTCCTTTGTCCACCCATGAAAACTTTCATCTTAGGCACAGATGCCAGTGCAGACAATTTTGGGGCATTATTGACAAAATAATGTGGAGCAAAGGTTGGTTTTTCAGAGCAGCAGTCTGAGTCATTGCAGAAGGGACAAAAAAGCATCAATACAGCAGAGTTAGAAGTTAAATTTATAGACTATTTGGAGGAACTTTGGGATTAGCTCTGGGTCTAGACTCTGACATCTTTACACCAACTTGGCAAATGCTTGCAACAACTTCTGTAGTGTGATTTTGCAATTGCACAGAGGCCTGGATGGGAGCGCTTTAGTCCTGTTGCCACACACAGAAGAGTTTAGTCGGAAGGCTGATTGCAAACACTAGTGATCATCTTCTCCAGTGTATCGGGAACCTGTGGTCATTTTGTCCTCATATGTTGCAGAAGAGTAAATGCTAGTGGTTCATCCACAGCTGGATAAAGGAGTAGGGACAGTCGGTGCAGTCTCACAGGAGTGGACTACCGAGCAGCTGAATGCTTCTCGGAGAGTGGATTTTTTATACTGGGATATTAGGTAATTGGAAAATCATCTGGCAGGGTTGGTCTCCAGAAAATGTAGCATCTCCACATCATCCCTGAGGAAAGCTCTTCTGGACCCAGAGCAATTTGACATTCTGAGCGAAATACTCTTTGGCAGGCGAGAGGACCTGATGGGTGATGGATTCAGGTATTAGCAGATTATAGCAGATATCCAGGACCTTTCCAATACTCAATGATGACCACATGGCTTCTGTGCTCTGTGCAAAAACCTTGGCTGAAGGAAAGGAGGGTTTCTAGGGATATAATGAGAACACAGCAGAAACCATCATCAGTGTTTTGGCATTTATGTGTTGCAAAAGACAGTCAGGAGAGCTAAGCCGTTGTGCGGCATGGGAGAGTGTTCATCGGCATCTGCATGGGTCCTTGCATCAGCCAGAAAGCAGCTGTGCGCTTTTTTGTGGACAAGTTTGAGGTTTGCTCATCAAAATATCAAGAGGCTTTAACTGTAGCGTAGCTTCCAGTTAATGAGCCTTTAACATGATGGGTGAAATAGGATTCTAGGAAGGGGACTGCAAGTAGCATGGAGACTTGATGACTTACTGATCAACAGTGGATGGAAAACATCAGGTAGCTGAACACTTCTCATCTTGGGCTTTAAATAAAGACTCAACCCGATCAGTTAAGTAGAGCTCCTGTCAAGGCACAGAGGAAATTCTAGAAACCCCACAATGTGGAAGGGGTGGTGGTGGGGGAAATGTTTCCTTTTGTAAGAACAAATTTAACTTGATCTCTAGAAATGAGATGGTCTTGGATGATCAATTGTATGTTTGGAAGCAAGTGTTTACAAGAAGCTATCTGCCTATGTTCCACAGTCCCATAAGGATGGAAAGCTAAAGTCTGCTAAACCTAGTAGGTTGAGTAGTTTTTGTTTGGTACATTCATTCTTCAGAAGTGGTACGTTGTACTGCTAACCTGTCAGGAAAAGTTACTTTTGGGAAATAAAAAAAAAAAGAGGTGCATTTTTACAGCCAATGAAAATTTACAATGAAAATTTTGCATTGTCTAAAAAAAAAAAACATTGCTTCTTGAGCAGTGGGTCACTGAAGCCTGGTTTCTGGAGGCATCTGTTGTGTCCAAATCCTCTCTTCCCTCCCCTGGAAAGCTGGCTGTCCTCCTCTCTCTTATTACCCCTTCCCTGTGCCCTCTCCTCTGCCTCTCACCTGATTTTATTTTTTTTCCCCCCAGAACTCATTGGTTTTAACTGCATAAATCGAAGCAGCTACTTAGGGCCAGTTCCCAGCAAGGCTGAGCTAAGGCAGCGACGTGTCCCTCTCTTCCTGCTGCACTGTCCTGCTGGCTCTGGCGCCCATCACACCTGCAGAAAACTGACCCCACCCCACACTGGTTTTCTGCCAATTTGCTAATTATTTTACATAATTAGTTTATAATCTGACTAGGAAAAATCTAGGATCAGTTCATAGTTCTTCCTCACCCCACAGAGATTAGTGTATGTTATTGTTACTGGTAATCTTACCTGGGTTTGCATCTCTATGTCTTCAAGAAAAAAAAAAACTTAAACAAATGCTTAGCTTTAAGGATATGAATAGCCAAAATTCTGAAAAAAGGGAAGAGGGTCAAACTAATGGAGGGTCACATTAATCCTGACAATTTTATACAAAGATGTATTTTCTTTTCCCACTGCTTTTCCTATTTATGCTGAGCTGGTTTGCTTAAAGTAGCCACTTGGTACGCTCAGGTTGCCAGAAGTTTTGAGAACTCTGCTTGGTGGCTTGCTTTGGTTACTGGCTTAGGTTTTGGTCTGTTATTTTTAAAAAATACACTAAAAAAAGTTAAGTATTTGCTGATGTGTTTCCTGCCTCCCATTCACTGTGTTTCAGAAAATCTTCAGAAGAACTGGACATGGATAAAGTAACAGCAGCCATGGTACTCACCAGTTTATCCACCAGCCCTTTGGTCCGCAGCCCTCCTGTCCGACCCAACGGTAAGCCTTCAGAGCAGTGCCTGGGCAGGGGCTGCAGGGAGGGGGCCAGGGCCGTGTATGCAGGGGCTTGTTTCCAGGAGTTGTGACCGTGATGGAGGACAAAGGGTGAGTGTCTGTCTTCTGGCAGTGACGCGTGTGCTGGGCATCTTACTGAGCTTTGCTCTGATCTACTCGAGGTCTTTGGTGCAGCACTGGCAGAAATGAGAAGAAATCTTTTCTGTAACTGTAGAGTGGCTCCAATTCATGAAATAGGAGGTGTCCCATTTCGTAAATGGGAGAGGAGCGCTGTGGAAGGTCTCCTGACCTCACTGAAACACTAATTTTCCAAACAGCTTATTTGCATTTGCACATATACAGCAAACATGACAGCAGTGGTTCTTGTCCCCACTCCATGGAAATCCGATTTTAGTCAACACTACAATGAAGAAAAGCACTTCCAGATCCCAGCCCTCAGCCGAGAGGCTGTGCACTAACGGTCTGCACGACAACCAGTCTGTCTCTGCTGATGCAGGATTAGACCCTCAGTTCCTCTGCCCTTTGTAACTCTCTGATGGTCTACCATCAAATCCATAATCGTTTCAAAGACTACCTCCATTCATGGTACAGCAGAAGACACACAAAAATAAATCTGAAATGTTAGTGGTAATAATGAGAGTGCTAATGAAATATATCTAATCTATGCAAGCTTGACTGGAGTTACAAGAAATTTTTAAAAGTGTTATATCTTAAGGAAGAATTTAAATTAGGACACCCTTGGTAGGATGTCTCAGCATTGTTTGTAGGACTGGCTTTTCTTACTCATAACTGTTAAATCGATACTAAATGCCCTTCTACTGTAAATAATTGGAGTACTTTGAGGAATACTTACTGATTGCGAATTAATAGGGCAGTAGTCTTTGCAGTTCTTCATGGAAGCAGAGGCAATCCACTGAATGATATTGTACTTAAAGGAATCTGTACCATGAGAAATGTCCCAGCTTTCAAAATTTTTGAACAAATAGTGTGTTGTTTTCATTTCTTTTCAGAAAATGTAAATTTTATCCATTTAGCTGGAAGTCTAGCCATGAACACCCATGGCTCCTCCCTGTGTGCTTTCCAAACACTAACCAAATCTTAAAACCAGAAGTGTTTATGGAGTGTCACTGTTCCCCTGGAGCCCTGGGAAACCTCCAGGGTGACATCCCCAGTGACTGTCCCACCTCAGGACTGGAGGTTGCCAGCCCCCAGGGAAGACCATTGGAAGGGCAAGAACGTACCTGCTCTCCAGCTGCTCCAGCTCACAGCTGAAACTGCAGATGAAGGGAGATCTGTGCTGATGTGCCAGGCAGGGATTCGGAGTGGCCGAGTCACATGGGTGTCCCACGTTGCATGCATGGTCCCGGGGAGCTGCTCTCACGTGGGGCAAGGCAGTATCTGCCACCTTCAGCAATTTGAGCAGATGACAGTTGTCGGGAGCAGCAGTGCACGTTAGCTAGCAGCTGTCGATTGGAAAGATCTTCCAAACAAGCCCTTTTGAATTGCTAATAGGTAAATGGTAGCTGTTAACTGCGTTTGATATTTCTTTGTGCAGCCTGAGTGCTCTTTGATATTTCTTCACATAGCTTGTCTGCTTATTTCCCAAAATCTGGGAAGACAAGCCGGAAAAAGTAATTCATGTATTTTCAGTAGTCACCAACAGGATTTCGAAGCTGTTATTGGGCACCTTCGCCTTGAATATTTTAGTTTTGCCTGAGTGAGGACTTACTAAAGACTACAATAAAAATGTAAAGATTTGATAATTTCAAGCTGAATTAGTGTTGCAAGTCTAGGCTGTGATCTTCGTAATACAAGCTCCAGATGTACTAATGATGAATTCTTTGTACATCTTCTGGAAAACAGCAGTAAGTAGCAGTGTACTTAAAGGAACATTTGTTTAAACAAATGGAATTTTGCCTAGAAGTAAAAAAATAGTATTAGCATTAATATTGAAGTCTGATCTGTGCTGGAATTACTGGGGATGGTTGCCCATGTAAACTGAATCAGAGTTTGGCCCCTGTTTCCCTGCAGTTGAGTAATATTTGGTCTGGTTCTCTTTCACGCTACTCCAGCAATGTGAAAAGAGCCCCAAAATAAGAGTAAGTTGCATTTATTTATATTTTAAACTCCTTTACATTGACAGATCTGTTAGTATTGATGAGAACCAGTGTTTGTTGTTTTTCCTGTTGTCACCCTTATTCAGCCTTTTCCGTACTACTTTAAAAATGTTCTTGATTTACATCTCTTTCTCAGCAAGGTGAGGAGAAGCTGTAAACCCTGAGAATACAAAGTACCATCATAAATGTGTCAGAAAGTAGTAGTTGAAAGAGTGCTGTTTCCTTTGTTTTTCTGAAGAAATGGGAATTTTAAGCTATGCTGAGGTCACAAGCTGATACCAGATGGACTTCTTGGCTTTGGTTGGAGACACAAGTACAAATACTTAAAAGAAACAAACACCACCTCCATTACAGTCACATGAAAACTCGGAAGGCTGTAATCATGAACCAAAACATGACATTTTTATATGTTAACTTATTAGCTGCAGGAAATGTATGTGTCCTTTTCCAAAGAGGAACTGGGGGGGGTGGTGGTGTGAGAGTTGATCGCACTTATGCTCTGTGGCCCTGATCAGTAAGTGCAGGGACTTGGCTGCTGCCTACGCAAAAGGGTATTTTTGTGCCTGTGCTTACATGATGGAGCACTGCATTCTGTTTTGTGAGCAGCTGATGTTAATGATTAAGGGTTTCATCCAAACCCAACTGAATTAGGAGAAAGAAAAAAAAAATCATTGGTTTTGGGTGGCAGGTGGTAAACATTAATTTCTTGCTGATGTCATTAGTTAAATTTATCTGTAAGAAATTGAGAAGGAATGAAGGAGTGACTTCTGCAGAACTCTTAAAGGCAGGCACTGGCTTGAAAAGACTCATGTCTCACACTTAAATAACATTTCATAAACAGATAAGATGTTATTTGCTTGCCAGTTCCCAAGTCGGCTGTTGTACAATACTCAGGCACCTACGGCGTCATTGGAAAAAGCTTTCTGTATCTGACTTGTGGAGAACCTGCACCTAAACCGTCCCTGCACATGTGCTGGAGCCCTGTGAGAACATGAAGCTTCAGGGAGAGCCGCCCGTGGTTGCACCACTGGACACGCTTGGGCCATACCTTGCTGAGCTGATGACCTACATACTCCTCTCCTGCCAAAAGTCCTTTAGCGATTGGGAAAAGTGACATGTCAATGTCTAACGCCTGAGGACCTCAGCACATGAAGCATGGTTCAAGCTGTGCCTCAGGCTGTGAAAGCAGTGCTGTTACTCCCACCCACCACATTGTAGAGTAACCTGTTAATTTGAGTGTCTGCTTACCTCTTAATGTCAGGGGAACTGCTGCAGTGAGGAGGGGGTTCCTCCAGCGAGTAGGTGTGGAGGCAATCCGGCATCTATGTGTCCCACTTCTGAAACCAGATGCCTAACGACACACGTGTATGAAGAAGAAGAAGGGATATCCTTCCAAGGATACATACCACTTCATTTAGAGATACAGACTAGGCAGAGGCGTGTGCACTGGGAGATTATGAGAAGACAGAGTGTAATTATGGTTTTCTTTGGTGTTTTAGTACTGTGATGATGATCATGTTCTTGCAGATAACACTTAGTGTCCTGGGGCTCCGAGTATATGTCCCCTGCCGAGGGGATCTCCTGTTGGCCATGCGGTGGCTTGGAGCTTGCTCTGATGCCCCACCAAAGTCGTGTTCCTGTTGAAAGTTGAGGATGTATTTGAATGTTTTCCCTTAATCACGCATGCAATATCTGACTGCTTATTGCAGTTTATGCTCCAGAACAGGTTATTTTTCCACACTCAGCATTTCTTTTTAGAAAAATACTGTGTTGTTTTGGGTTTTTTAAATGAAGAATCAAGTGTGGAATATATAATTTGTGTGCAGTGGGATAGAGTTGGTTGTCATCTTTATATCCGACACTTTTGCTTTCCTTTATTGAACATGCAGTTAATTACCAGCACAGCATCTAAGCCTTAGATAAAAGAGCTCCTTAGCCCTAACACACGATACTGTTGTAATGATGGCTGTTGTTGTTCTTGACAGAATCCCTAAATGGATCTTGGAAAGAAGGAGGATTTGTGCCTTCTAGTACCAGCAGCAGTGGATACTGGAGCTGGAATGCTCCCAGTGACCAGTCCAATCCATCCACCCCATCTCCACCTCTGTCAGCTGATAGCTTCAAAGCTTTTCGGACACCTTCCCAGCCAGATGACGGTATTGACGAAGCTGAAACAAGCAACCTTCTGTTTGATGAACCCATTCCTAGGAAGAGAAAGGTTAGCCTTATGTTAAATTCCATACCATGAAGAGATAGGATTTTGGTAGACTTACTTTGCTGTGAGAAAGGAACAGGTCACACAAACAGCTCTGTATGTGTATCCCTCCTTGGCATCCAGTTAAGGTAGGTACGCAGCCTAATCACTATGTCTCGTTCAACCTAGTCACCTACTGCACACACATGCTGCCATCGGCACCGCATATTTGCTGGCAGATGGTGAGGTTCTACAGAGCCTCCTGCTCAGAAAACCCTAGAGTGATTTCCAGAAGGTGTTGCCTCTGGCCATTCAAGGGATTTCTTTCCTACTTTGGCAAATTCTTTGTATGCAGCATGCAACAGGCAGCCTTTACATGTCATCACAAAAACTGGATGTGGCCTTAATACTTCTTGTTCCCTGAAAGTGCTGTTTGTCTGACAGCATGTCAGATACCTTAATACTGTGAAGCTTTCTCTGCGCAAACATATGGAGTAAAAAAAGGAGAGAGAGACCAAACCTGATGGCTTTTGATAGAGTATTAGCTGTGGCCAAATTTATCCTCACTAGGAGTGAAAAAGCAGACTAAATAAAACACTGTAAAAAAAAAAAAAAAAAGTCCAAAACTAACCCCAAAAAAGCACCGTTATGCTAGCAAGCAAGCTCCTCTTGAAGAAAAAGAAAACAAAGAGATGGCATTAGTCCAAGTTTCCTTCCCTCCCAACGCAACAGGACAGATTTTACATAGCAAGATGAAAAAGGGCTTTTTTGTAAGAAGAAAAAACAGAGAATTTATTCTCTTTAGTGACTTTGTTTCTGGCTCAGTCTGAGATAGTTAATTGCTTCATCAACAGCAGGAAGAAGTTTTAGTGATTGTTTAAACCTTTTCAGATTTATCCTTTTGCTCTAGAAGTTGCTTATTTGCTAACCCACACTGTTCTGCCCTTGTTCGTGGGAGAGGGATGTAAAATGTGTGTGCTTCTTGCTAAAAAGGAAAAAAAAACATTGAGGACACCTTTATTGTAATAAATTCGAAGTTAGAGCTGTTCAACTAAAGACAGATGATTTTTGAGGGGTGTGGAACAGGAGGAGTAGGAATGCAGAAGTGTGCTGTTTGCCTTTTACTTCTCAGTTGAAGTTCAGTTTATTAGCCTTACTCGTATTGCTCAGCTGTGGTAAGACAGATGGGTTTGCAGCTGCCATCTTTATTGTTTTCTGAGTTGTCTTCAAATATTTCTATTTATGTACCCACCACCAATCTATTGCACTATCATCTGTTCTGGTTTGCAGGGAATTTGCTCTGTGTGGCAAATGTTTAATTTGGATAAATAATAACAGTACCTGCCAAACTTTGTTTTAGAAATGAACTGCATTTCCTGCAGGTTTTTTTTATTCTGGCCCCAGCACACTACTTTATCTGAGTACAGCTTCACACCTTTAGAAGCTGAAATAAAATGTGAGGATGGTGAGGCACTGGAACAGGTTGCCCAGAGAAGCTGTGGATGCCCCATCCCTGGAAGTGTTCAAGGCCAGGTTGGATGGGGCTTTGGGCATCGTGGTCTAGTGGAGGGTGTCCCTGCCCATGGCAGGGGCGTTGGAACTAGATGATCTTTGAGGTCCCTTCTGACCCAAACCATTCTATGATTCTATGAAAAATGTTCAGGTTATTTCTTCTTCAGGGCTGCAAAAGTCAGAGGCAATAAACCTGGAAATAGAGTGATCGGTAACCTTACTTTTATTCATTAAAGTTTCTTGCATTTCATGTTTGGAAAATGTCATGTTAGCAACCACTTCCCGTTAAGAAAGTTGTTTGCTTAAAATGTAGTTATTCCTCACCAAACCATTTTTTTTCTTTGATTAGGCAATTTTTGGAACTAGTCAGAAATGGAAGCATGGTTTATATTCTGTATTTCCACTGAGTGAGATTTCATTTGGTTACATTAAAATGCATGGGGTTTTGCAGACTCCTAGCACTGATAATAAAGCCAAAACCACGGTGGAGCTAGGAGATTGGTTTTACCGTCAAACTGGAGATTGACGTTAAACCAATCTGTGTTTGTAAAGATGCATATGGTGTTCATGATGTCATACCGGAATTCCTAAGGTGTAAACGGTAAGCATGATCTTCATCTTGTCGCCATGGTGAGTGGTTGTGGGTTTTTGAGCTGATGATAGTATTGATAGTATTTAATATTATATTGTACAAGTAAAAAAATGTGTCTATCAGAATTGTTAGATAGGTTATACTTAATTTTAGGAAAAAAGAGTTCTATATCTATTTGAATGGTAGTTGTATTATCAGATCAAAAAATTATAGAGGGAATTTATGTGCACTTTATTCTGAAGTAGAAGGTTTTCATGCAGGCAGTATGATCAGGTACCTCAAATTTTAAAGCCCTTAGCAACCATACTTTCAAACAGGAGATGTTAGACAGCCGAGTAACCATGAGAACATGCTACTGCAATCAACTTGTAGTTTAAAAAGCCCATCAGCTGAGATTTTTTTAAATTATATTCTAATCATCATCTTTCTAGCAAATGCTGAAAGTTGCCATCTGCTGGCCTGCAGTTCCAAAGGGGCCAAATTGGAGAAACCACCAAGTCAGCTTTTGTTCAAGACCCAATGAAACATGTACTTAACTCTAAGGATGTTCTTGTTCCCTTCTTTTTTTCAATCAAGCTTTATATGAATATTTGTACATCATATTCTAATATGTAATATTAGAATATTATGCATCTATATGAATATTTAATCTTACATGTAACTAAAATTATAGGATAATAATACAGTAAAGCTCTTCCTCATGTTTTATTTAATAATGTGCTCTGTAATAATAGGGAAAATTATTTCTGAGAAGTAGAAATCATTTAGATATTATTTTTTAATTTAAAATTTATAAAGTAGGTTTCATTTTGGGGTAAAATTAGCTTTAAAAAAGTCTATACAGTTCTGCAACATCTATGTTGTTTGTGGTAAGAACCACATACTGTGCTTTAAATTAAGACTGGTTTTCTCTAGAGTCTTCAAAATATTGAAGGTTGGGGTGGTTATAGCCTTGATGGCTGTACTCTGAATCAATGATAACTCAGTTTAGGCCAATGAAGTTATATTAAAGAATATAACAAGAACATTAAAATGAGATTATGCACATATTCTTTTAAAAATTTTGAACACAGCCAGATGGCTTCTCATTCTCTTGTCCAAGTAAGGGTCACAGCAGCTTCTGAATGAAATAAAAGTAGGTTTTGCCAGCTCATGGGTGAATACTGTCATAGCAGAAGCTATGGTTTTCTGGTACAATATTTTTATGTGCTGCAAAATTCATGAGCAGAAATATTCTTAAGGGCTTGCTTTAGGAAGATCTTAATTTAAGAAGATGCCTTGCATTACGTGAGAAGTCCCCATCAGTTGTTCATTGAAAGCCTCCAAAGAAGTGTAGGAAGTTTTTATATTATCTACCTCCTTTAGTGGGGAGACAGAATCTAGAACTTGCAAATGAAAAAGCCATGCCAAAGAGTGGAGAGAAGGAAAGTTTTGTCACAAGCTGCTCTTGCAACTTTTCACTGGGATTCTGCTGAGTTCAGTAGGATGCCACTGCTGACAGAGACTATTACATCATTACAAATTCGGAGTTAGGGCTCTGAGCCTTCACAGTGTTTTGTAACTGTGTATCTGTTTTGTGTGGTTTGATTTTCTTTCTGTCTTCCACACAACTGATGTTGCTTTACTCATAATTTTCAGAACTCGATGAAGGTGATGTTCAAATGCCTGTGGAAAAACTGTGGGAAGGTACTGAGCACAGCTGCAGGGATTCAGAAACACATACGGACCATTCACCTTGGGTAAGAGGGCAGTCTCGTCGGAAGTCTAAAGGGTTTGGTATAGAAGGGGAGCAGTCACACTTGGCTGGGGAGATGAACTGGATTGTCCTTGGCTTTTGTCTCTCAGATGCCTAGGTTTCTGAGGGAATTGCAGAGTAGTGTGTCAAGGTGAATGAGAACTTACTCCAACAGTGAGGCACTTTCTTGAACTTTTGTGAACTTTGCTAGAAGGTCAAATACAGCTCTATGTCACACTGCTCTTCTCTAACAGCTGCACAACTCAGTGGCATTTACTTCATATGTGCTATCTGCACATCACGTCCAGACTGATGCTGTGTGAAGGACAGCAGGATTCAGGGTCTTGCATGAATACTTTCCAGCCTTGATTCACATCAGATCAGGTGCTTGTGCTAGTTCTGAGTCAAATTAATGCCAAAAAAAACCCCCAAACCACCTAAGAAACCTAAGAAAAAGAAACTGAGTGGCAATTCCATGTGTATGTTACTTGGACTAGAAGCAAAAGCAAATTAATCTTGTATGACACAAGCTTGTTTCAGAGTTTTAGTTTGCAACTGAAATATCCTGTGCAATTTGCTGAGTGACCTCGCTGTCTCAAATCTAGTTACAGTGAGGACTTATGGTCTTCATCTATCAGATACATGGACATACATCTCTGTTGTGTAACTCTGTGTGACCCAGTGCTTAAAACTTAAAGTGACCATGAGGAATTAGTCTGGTGTGGACCTCAAGAGAGTCTTTCAAAGGTCATAGTAATTGCTGTTGGGCTTAGGCTCTGAAGAGGCTATTGGAAACAGAGAAATTCTCTCTCAAAATGCAGTTATGGATGTTGCTCTTTGTCCTGTATATTGTGGGGACATCCTTTTCATGGCATGGGAGAGGGAGGAGTAACCAGCAGAACTTCCTTGGAATTTGGAGCTTGTAACTTTGCCAGAGAGAGGGGTTTTGGTGAGTGGCTGGCAGTGCTCCAGCAGGTGATACTTCTGGTAGAGCCTTGCAAATGTGCTGAACCCATGCTCTCAATGGGTTTTATGGAGTAAGGTGGCAACATTCAGGAGAAAATACACATGTATGACCTGTGAGTTACATCTATATAGGATGTGGATTATGAATGTGCTAAAATAGTGGTTTGTTTGGGACTTCAAGATAACATGTAGCCTACTGAGAACTCCTGCTTTGACTGGGCTGCTTCACTCCTAGCACTTGTGCTCAAACACACAGCAGCTAGTGCCAGGGGATGCAGGGACAATTAAGCCTTTTACATCTCCTCCTTCAGTAAGTCTGCTTTTGGAGAGTAGGACCAGAAAGTTCTGTGCTGGCAAGCCAGCCTGTGTATGTCGCTTCTCTACCTCTGTCTGAGTGAGTTGCATGGTGAGACTGTTTTCTAGCAGCTTCTTCTGTTGTGCCAAGGAACGTTACGGTGAACCACAGCCATAACTATATTTGGTTTAATTAAGTAACCTATGGTAAGATTACATATTGTTGGCCATGACATTAGCTAAGTATATCTTGCCCATGTTTGTTATCTTTACCTGTCCTTCTGTGGCTGCTCTGTCATTTCTGAAGTCAAAGTGCGTTGAGATTCTTGTCAACTTCAATAGTTAGGATTAATACACTGATACTTAAGCTGAAGCATAGAAGTTAAACATCTACTCCAAGGTCAAAGAATTAGTCAAGAATAACACAGGAAAAAAAATCTAATTCCTGTTTCTTTTCCCTTCAGACTAGGTGATTTTCTTTTCCTCTCCCCCTTCCCTGCAGCCAGAATGCTGATAAAATAGGTAGGGTTCAAATTGGGAATACTAATTTATTGACAGTATGAATATATTTGCTCATGCGTCTAGAACTTAAAATGTACCTTGGGGTTCTTGCTTTCATTTAATCAGTCCTTCATTCTTTGTCTTGATACAGACGTGTAGGAGAGTCTGACTACAGCGATGGAGAGGAGGATTTTTACTATACAGAAATCAGGCTCAACACGGACTCAGTAGCTGATGGCTTAAGCAGTCTTTCCCCAGTCTCCCCATCTTTAGCATCTCCTCCTTCCTTTCCCACCCAAGACGCAATCCGTCCTGAAACTTCCTGTGCCAAAACCGAGACTAAATTGATGACACCTCTGAGCCGCTCAGCTCCTACCAACCTCTACCTCGTACACACGGACCATGCTTACCAGGTAACGCTAGTGAGAGTGAACTCCATTGTTACACTAATGTCATTAATATTTAAGGAAAAGATCACAATGTTTGGGTTTTAAAAACCCAAGTCTAGTTTTAATGGGTTGAAAAGTTTTCAGGGGAGCCCGAGGGGTTCATCTCATTTAAATTTTGATGTCCCCTTCTGAGCTAGTTGTTTGTTGTGCTCCCACCATAGCCAATGGATTTTGGGGTGTTATTTATCCAGCCATGCATAGGTGCATACTTCAGGTTGAGAAGAGTTGCTCTGTGTATCCCACTGCCTACATCAGTTAATTCTCCACTGACCATAAGGAGGGTCCAAGGTGAGGTGCTCAGGTGTGGTCTCCTGCATTGTAAAAATTCTCATTCAGTCAGCCAAATCCCTCCCAGAGTCTTCATTTCAGCTCTGCTTGTACTCGAAGTGTCTGTAGGCAAGTACCCAAGGGATGCCAGGAACAATTCCTTTCCTTTGTTTGTACAGTGTGAGATGTCAGTTTGCATATGTGAAGTAGATCTGGAAGAATGAAAAGGCATATTTGGTATCCTCCTACTCTTAGAGGTAATGTTTTGCACATGGCAAAAATCCAGTCAGATCCAAAAACTGCTGTTCCAAAAACCTTCCAACTAAGTTCAGACAGAAAACATTAATTTCCAAAGTGTGCTAAAATTTGACATGTTTTGGTCTGGATACCGTATGAGAAAAGAAGAATAGAGGCTTTGAAGTAGTGTGGTCCGTGACCTGTGTATGCACCGGAGAACTGAACTCTGTTAAATTTATCAGATGCAACAACTTTCGTATACAGCATTGTGCAGATGAAACCTTTTTGTTGTGTGTCTGGAGCAGAACCCACTAAAAGGGCAGAGGGAACCACACAAAATTCACAGGCTTGTTTTAGTCTCTGGTCTCATGGTGGAAAGCGTGGGTGGAAGCTTGTAGCATCTCAGGTGGGAGCTGCATCAGGTAGCACACCAACCTGGGGACCGATCAAACCAGCTAGAAGACTTTCTCCTCAGTCTGGCTTAAGCCCTGCCTCTCACAGAGTGAGGCACCAAGTCAAGGCTGCTGAGAGGAGTTTCACTTCGTTTGGGATTTGCAGTCATGACAGTCTTCCCTGCAATTTGGAGACTTGCTCAATCTTTTTTTTATAAGCAGACTTTGAGTAAAGCGCTTGCCTAAGGAAATCCTAGTTCAAATGTTTAAGCCGCTTGAATTGAATTGATGTATTTCATGACATGAAACTACAAGTGTCTGAGCCCTGTCTCCTTTTCAAGTTGCTCTGGTTTCAATACTTCATTTCATCAGTGAGGAGTGACTGTTGAAGGCATTCCTGATGGAAGCAGGAGGCAGGGTCCCTGCTCCAGCACTCAGGTTGTCCGTGTAAAGGAGGCAACTTCTGCAGAGCAGGTTAGTGGCATCCTGTGCTCAGGTCCCTCCAGCCCAGCAAGAAGAGCAGGCTCCCGGAGGCAAGCTGGAGATTCAGCTCTCACCAGCAAGAGGAAGAATTGAGCCCAGCTTTCATTTGTAGCATTTAAGCTTTCTTGTGACTAATCTGTTGTGTAAAAGGGAATAGAAGAGAAAGTGACGACAGCATCTTTAATACCACCATATTTCCTGCCATTTTCTTGCTGGAGTGAGCCATGTACAGAATTTTTAAACTTTTTTTTTTTACTTCTGATTAAAGTATTGTCTGTATCAAAACTGAAATGAAGTATTGAATAGGAATGTAGTGATGAAAACAATCTCTCATATGAATGAGAGCATCAAAGTGGAAATTACTTTATTTGGAGTGAAGAGGCAAAATTCACAGCTCAGGGAACTCAGATGGGGGAGGCTTAAGAATGTTCATCCCTAGGATGATTTTAATAGGATGATTTTAATAGGATTCCTATTAAAAAAAAGGGAAAAAATGTGGAACCCAAAGCTGGGTTGCAGGAATCCTAAACAGATCTGTTAACTGACGTTTCCTATATGACTGAAAAATGGCAAATAAAATGACTGTAGTAAGGAAGGAGTAAAGGGGAAGTGATCAGGCAAGTCCTGACTCTCTTCTCTGGCCCAGTCCTGTGGATGAGGAAAGATTTAGAAAAATAATTGAAGAAATTGCGGAAAGTACAGCAAATGAGGTGAACTGCAATGGAGGAACCCCAAAGAAGATTATGCTAGAACAATCTAACATCTTGCTTGGGGAAGGTAGCTTTGTAAACAACAAAGCAGCAGCACAGAAGAACAAATCCCTCTGAATTTGAGGAGAGCATTTGATCTGGAAACATATAAGCAGTATTTGTTAGGCTAGAGATTAAATTTAGTGTAGGAGAGTGAGCTGGGGAGTCAGGGAGAGCAGCAGTGAGTTATTTTGAAAGGGCTATTGAACATCATTAGTGGAGTTGAATGAAAAGCTGTATTTGGGCCTGATCTTATTTTCATTAAATCATTTTGGTACTAGACAAATACTATAATAAACTTTGCTGATAAAGAACTCGGGAGATGTCAGCAGTACAGGGATTTGTATATCATGCTTCCATGACTGGGTGATCTTAAGAGTAATAGGTTTTGGATGCAATTTAGTGGGAGAACATGCAAAGTCCTGCACCCTAGGGACTAATGAGAATTTTCTGCTATAAACTGGGGTAGTTAGCTTTCCTTCTCCTGTAATTTTCTATGTTCATTAATCAAGCACAGAACGACCATGAGCTAACAACAACAGGTCTGTGAAGGGGAAAAAAAAGTTGTCAGCTTTCTTGGATAAGAAATATCTAGGAGAGACAGGGATTTTTAATACCGTTGTACAAGACCCCTGGATAACTTCAGCTGCTACCCTGAGCAGAGTTCTGGTCAACCGAGTTCAAGGATGCTGGGGTCCAATTAAAGGACGAAGAGATTGTCTAAAATGTTAGCCTGAAAAAGGTGACTGTGCTTGATGAGCAAAGATGCACGTTTGGGAAACAAATGCACAAGGTGATCGACTGTCTAACTCTGACCATGTCTGAGGTAGATGTTTAGGCATGGATAAAAAACAATTGAGCACCATGGTATTTTAGGCAACTGCAGATTACAGCAATTTTAAACTTATACTTCACGTTTCATTATGAAGCTAGTGCCTGTACCTGTTAAATGTAGCTATGGAGGAACTATGGGCGGGCTCTTTCAGCATCTAGGATTTCCCTTGCGGGTCTTATTCAAGTAGCTGAGGAAGTCACCATACTGACCCCAGCTTTGAGCTGATACCCCGGTGGGATGCTGAGTGGCGGCAGTGCCACCTTGCTGCCCACCCAGTTGCCTCCAGTTCTTTCTGGCAGGAGTGCCGTGGTCATTCACCCCTTCCCGTTTGAACAGGGTTGTGATGAAGCACTACTGGCACCATCTGGAGTTGCCAAATTTTTCTTGATGCCTTTCAGCAAGGTTTTTATATTTTACGGAGGTCAGCGGACATTTGCTCCACATGTCTGTGTGGATTCTCTCGGAGCTGTCAGCAGGCTCGGCAGCCCGCAGAGGAATCCGGCGAGAGCAGCCCTGCCGTAGACGGAGGCATCCGGTGGTCTCAGTTTCTTTTCCTTGGAGAGACTCCAGGGAATTGCTTCAGCACTTGTTTACTCTGAAGATTATCTTTAATGGGGACTATCAGGTTGTAGTTTGTCATCACTCCTCTCTGCCTGGCAGCTCAGGGAAGCACTCTCTGCCCTGAAGCAGTGAGACAACTTCAGCAGCCTCAAACACAGACACTACTTAAGTGTATTGCATTACTGTCAGGCACAGGCAACTGAAGGCAGAAGTAAAAGCTCATTTTTAACAGCAAGTTCCTTATAAGTTTAAACCAAGGAGCCTTTTTTTGTCATGAAAGCTTGAAATTCAAGGGCCAAAGGGAGCCTGCGTTCATGCTGGCTGCTCGCACTCCTGCTAGGCAGGGTAACTGCAAAGGTTTGAATTTCCTGACTCTGTAAATTAAATAGGATTCAAAAAGGGACAGGGAAGAATTCCTGAGAGCTTGTAGCCCAGTGAGAGAACCAGAGGGAAGGCACAAGATGAAAGATGCTCAACGGTCTGAGCTCAGATTATCGGGTATTCCACCCCAGGGCATCACTGGGTATTACAGCCCAGACAGGAAGAATGTATGAGCTCAAGGGGCCCAGGGGTCCTTCAAACACTTGCTTTAGCTGAGTCTTTTAAGAGCTGTTTTTTGAATCCCGGGGATGATTTTCAGCTTCTTGTTTTTAATAGGAAAGACTGTTTTAATTGGGATGATTCTTAACAACATTTATCTGATAAACAAGAAGTGGCCAACCCTTACTGTTGCTTGTTAACCCTATTGTCCAAGAAGCCTCACCAACCGGTCTTCAGTGGTTCAAACCAGCTGCTGTCAGTTTAAATACTGCCTTGTTTATCGCTGTGGAACAGGTGATCATTTGTAATATTTTTTGCTGCTAGCTGGCATTATTTTAAAAGTTATTTGTATATGATGTTTGATTTTGTGTGAGTTTTTATCAGATCTAGCTTTTAAGGATTTTGCATGGATTCTTGAGAGCTATCGTCTTTCTCTAATCAAGGTTTTAAGAACAGCGATACATAAATATGTCCTTTCCTTACTGGCTTATCCATGATTATCCCTCTCATAAGGGTAAAACACTTGTCACCATGCAGGTTTTTTCCACCTCAGAAAGTCTCTCGTAGCTGTACAGTTTCAAGGAGTGAAAGATCCCTTGAAATGCTTTGGAAGAGGAATGGTTCTTCTTACTGGAATAATATTTTCTTTTCACACAGGCCACTCCTCCGGTGAACATTCCAGGGTCAGCAAAATTCACTCCCAATGGCAGTAGCTTTAGCATCTCTTGGCAGTCCCCTCCAGTTACCTTCACCGGCATTCCAGTAAGTGAACAACACCAAAAAAAAAAAAAAAAAAAAAATTTTTTTTTAGAACTTTTTGTTTTGTTTCACAGTGTCTCACGATAGAAGTAAATTTAACATAATAGGTACTGAAAAGAAACAAATTAAATATATGCCTCAGTTTGCCAGCATGGCTGGTTTTAACAATTACTCTTTAATTCAGTACAGTTACTTTTTTTCGCATCAGTGCCTACAAGCAGAGAATTGGGTCTATAGTATATATCTTTTTACACTATATGCTTACAAAAGAACATTGTGGTAGGTGCAGAGCCTGGCACTGTATGTTCCTTTTTGTGCCACTAAGAGGTTTCTTGCAAAACTGGATAGAAAATCAGTGAGGTGATGGTTAGGCTAACTGGATCTAAGCAGTGGGGCTGTTACCTAAACGAACCCTGAAGATGAAGTATATTTGAAAGGCAACTGAAAGAAACAATAAGATGAAATGCAAAGTCTGATTCTAGTAGGCTACATATATGTAGTCCCTTTTGATATCAGAAAATTTTGTACTTTTATATTAAAAATATGTTCAATACATATTGCATTTTGATATTAATACATTGGCAGTTTGACACATTTTTAATGAAGATGTATTAGAAATAAAGGCAATAGCTAGTGTACAGGCCCTAATTTCATGAACAGGACTGCAGAAACGGGATGTTTGCTTCAACATAGACTTCCCGTAGTCCTAAACGTAACGCAGTAGAGGTGTGGATGCTGTAGGGGGAGTTAAAAACCTTTATGAAGAGTTCAAAGGGATTTGGCTTCTAGTGCCTAGCATGGTGAATACTAAAAGCAAATGTAAATCACGATTTATGAGTAGTGGAAAATCTTCTGTGTAATAAATAGAAATAAATATTAATGTAATGTATCCTAATTTTTATTGGAAAACATTTTTCAGTATAAATTGATACTCTCTAATCATAAACCTTTTTGATATCATAACATTTCATTTAATATTATACTTTATGAATTTATGCATTTTTAAAGTGTGTTATATAAGGGACATTGCTCATCCAAAGAACCACGTAGCTTTTTTTCCTCATGACAGTGAATATTAGACATGGTGATAAGAGACACTATTTCTCTCTCTTCTCTTCATCAAGTGAATCTCCAAAGCTTCTTACTGTCAACCTTTGGCAAATCTTGGAGATTTTCTGCAGAGGCTGTGGCATCCTGCAGGGCTGATAAAAAATGAAAGTGGCTGAATCAATTACACTGCACTCTGCCAATGAATATTTATTAAATTCCATCAAGGAACAACTAACAGTGAAAGACATCATGCTGGCAGCAATTTGAACGAGAGCCTTGACAGAGTGTGCTATCCATAAAGTTCCTCGAGAATTTGATTTCCCAACAATGGGGTTGATACGGAGTAATTATGAAACTGGCTCCTTTGTGGAGTAGCAGAAATTGGTGCCAGGAGTGTTAGGAATCTAAAAATGCAATTAGCCACATTGTAAATCAGACACTTAAGAGGACAGGATTAGACACATATGTGTTGAGTTTACTTGTTCAAGCAACAACATTGATCTGTGGCTGTAGCATTGAGAGTTCTCAAAAGAATTTAAGAAATGCCAAATCACTTTCTGAGAATTGTATGGCGATTCCAGTGATTTAAGTACAATTTAAAAATAATCTCAATACAAAAACCTGGGGAAGCAGTGATGATGGTGGAATTATGAACCG